AGACAGACAAAAGCAGGTTTTGAAAAAGAAAGTGGAGAATTCTTTGTTTCCTGTCTGGTCCAAGGAATACTGAGGCCAGATTTGATTAAAAGGAGTGATCAGTGGGTCTTCAAAAGACATCCCAATGGGAGCGAAGAGGTGTAGGACATGGTTCCCAAGGATGAGGCGGAGGAAGATAGAGAAAGATACATGGGCCTGACACATTGGCATCCCAGGGATCCAGACAGAGTGGGCACAGCTGTTTCAGTACGTCGTCATGTAAGAACAGGGGCCAAAAGCTCTGAGCCCAAGAGAGGCAAAGTCACCTGGTGCCAGGATTTTGAGGAAAGCTAGAAGGTGAGAAGACTGTGCTTGAGAAAGGAAGTCTCATATCCAGGGTGGATAACCCTGCCAGAGATCCCATTGTTGGTACTGAATGAAAAGCAAAGCCATCAGCGAATGAGAAAACGGATTTGTTGAAGGTGGAAGAGAGCAGATCAGAAAGCGATATCTAAGGGATAATTGGGCCAGATCTTAACTGCAAAGACAGATGAGTTTAGAAGCCCTTAAATCGGGCACTGAGTGCTAAAGCTGGAGGTATAGATGATACCAAAGTTCCCATGAATGAGGCAGATAAGTGAGACCCAAGGGTCTATAATCCCTAGTTTCCAGGAATTCAAAGAGGATTGATTTCGAGAAGGCACAGGCTGCCTCAATGATTTGTCAAGCAGAGCAGGGGCTCAGGGCTCTGAGCCTAAAAGAGCCATGGTTCCCTGGTACCAGTGCTTAACGAGGCCAAAAGGTGAGAAGCCAGGCTCGAGAGAAGTCCTCACTCATGGGAAATGGCCAGAGGTGGAGAAGAGGGGGCTCATCAACCATGCTGGTGGTAGATGGAGGGCCCCAGTGATCCATTAGTTGAAGAAGCGAGGCTGTCATGTGTGAACCAGGTACCCGGGTCCTGGCATGCCCAGACTGCCAGCAGGCGGGAGGAAGTGCCAGGAGAGCCTTTCCTGATCAGGGAACCCAGTGTTGTAATTTAAAAACACCATGAGGAGAAGTCACACCATGCAACAAGGCTCACATAGAGGTTCATTGGAAGAGGAGAGAGAAGGGGCAGAGAAGGAGGCAGAGACTGGTCCCTGGGGGCAAGAGAGGTGAAAGAGGGAGAGGTGGGGCAGAGAGGTAGGGGGCAGGCCCAGCTTTTAAAAGGGACCCTAGTGAATGTGCACAGGAGGCGCTCTTAGTGGCTGCAGCTAAGGACGTACCCTGTCAGGACCCCAAGGGCAGGCCAGTATAGATGCCTGAACACTAACAACAGGTGCCTATAGCTTCTGTACCTGGTACCCGTGTGATGGGGTTACCACTAAGCTGTTGATTTCCAGCTGTGATGTGTGATCTTATCATTTATAGAGAACTGGTACCCTTCATGCTGGTAACAGTTTCTTCCTGCCCATGGCCAGTATCTGTGACTTGCTGATAGAGAACACCTGTCCTTTCTTTGGCCCAGGCAAAGTGTGGGGTCTCTGGCTACCTTTGCAGGACATATGGGGATGTCTCAGGGGGGTTTGGTGAGGCCCAGGATACATGGGCTGCTTTTTCTCAATGTGAACAGGTTTGATTTTGATGAAAGTGTCTGTTGCACTGAGACATGCCAAGGGCCCCCAGCTCTGCTGCTTTGTTCCCCAAATCTAGCCTGGCCACATGTTTGGTATCATATGACTTGTTTTTATCTATTATCTATCAGTTTTTCTCAGTTTCACTTTTCTGGCCACTGGGTGGGTAAGAACTGGGGACGGGTGCAGAGGCTCCTGGGAGGTTGGGGAGAAGGCTGGGCAAACGCCCAGCCCCTGGCCTGTCACAGGTTTTTATGTCAGCAGACACTTTCCATGTCTGTTTGCCGGAGTGACAGCAAGACAGCCTGTCATGGTCAATGCATGCTGGCAAGCAGTTCCCACCCGTCTGCAACAGCCCGAGATGTTGCTGTCCTCGTGTGCTGCTCTGGAAGTGGGCAGTCCATCCGTCTGCAGTGTCTCTGCTGTTGTGCTCCCAGCAGCACCTGCTCATATTGTTTGTGTTTTTGAACAGAACCACCTTGCTGTGTTCTCAGTGGTTCACCCACTGGCCCCCAGCATAAGCTCCAGTGTGGCATCTAGCCTGGCATCCAGCACTGGCTCAGGTAGCTCCTCCCCCACCGCTCTACCTACCCTTCCTGCCCGTGCCCTCCCACTGGATCCAGCTGGCAACACTGTGGAGGCAGTCCTAGGTAAGTCACAACACTTCTTTCCTCTCAGCTCTTCACACGGTCACTGTGTTACTTGGGACTGCAGGATATGTGGAGCCCACGTCACATAATACAGAAAACACCAAAGAGTCATGGCAAGTGGACCCTCTGTCTCAGAGGCCATGGGAAAATGAGGAGGCTAGTGAGAAGTGGAGATGGAAACCACAATGAACTAAAGGTGGAGGATGACAGGGTCGAGAGGAGAGTTGTAGTGGAGCCTGGAGCAAGTAAACAGCTAGCTGTCAACTTGCAGCCAGCTTTGTGGATTTTTTAGTGCCTGGGAGTCACTCACTGCGGGAGCACCAGTGATGTATCAGTGTCTGAACAGGAGCCAAGAACCTGGGCACCAAGGCCAGGATGAGTTAAGTAAATGGGGTTAGACCAAGAGGAGTGAGGGAGCCCGGCGCTCCTATGTACACAGGTACTTGTGAATCACAGGTAGCATGCTCTGAGCTGCTGCATTCCGTGATCACAGGCAGCATGCTCTGAGCTGCTGCATCCATGGTCACCAGGGCCTAGTTGGCCCAAGACTGACTTGATTGTGGTTTGGTTTGATTTGGTTCAGTTTGGTTTTTCAAGACAGGGTTTCTCTGTGTAGTCAAGGCTGGCCTGGAACTCTTTGTAAACCAGGCGGAAACTCAGAGATTTGCCTGCTTGTGCCTCTTGAGTTCTGGGATGAAAGGCATGTGTCACTACCACCCAGCTTTTAAAAAAAAAAAAAAAGATGTCATTTGTTTTATATATATATATATGAATATGAGAATTTTGCCTAAACGTATGTCTGCATTGTGTGCATTCATTGTCTGTGGATGTCAGAAGGAGGGAATTGATGTCCCTGGAAATGGAGTTAGAGACAGTTGTGAGCTGCCTCATGGGTGCTGGAAATTGAACCTGGGTCCTCTGGAAGAGTAGCCGGTGTGCTCTAAACCACTGAGGTATCCTTCCAGCCCCGAAGCCTGTATCTTGTCCTGACCGTGGGAGATACACAGAAGAATGGCATTTGTGGTGACTTCAGAGATGTGGGACTGTCTTGAAGCAGGTCGTGCTGCCTAGGGACCCAGAGTCAAGTTGTCCATGTTGATGTACAAGTACCAAAGTGGCAAGCCCTGCCTAGAGGACATAGAGATGTGTCACTAGCCGTCTCACAAGACAGCACAAGCTCTACCCGTGTAGACCTGTTAGAGTCCTACTTCAGATGCAGGTTGGGAATGATGTCACTAGTGTTGGCAGAGGAGGCGTCCCTCTACTGTCCTCAGGGGACATTAAAGACAGTCCTGTACTACGTGGGGACTGCTAAGGAGTCCTGGAGCTGGTCAATGTGCTGCTGAGGCTCCTCCCACGCCTCTGTGTTTCTAATGTAAAAATAAAGAGGGTACACAACAGAAGAATGTTGAGGGAAAGTTAGATCCCCATCCCAGAACAAGCAGACTGTGTGGGCACTTGCTCACCAAGGTGTAAGGTTGACCAGGTGCAACAAACATGGGAAGTATCTTAGGAAGTCCTGAGTTGCGGGTGTTTCAGGCTAGCAGGTGTCAGCCTGTTTGCGATAGTTCTTCTGGCCATTATTTACTATGCAGTGCATGGCCTCAGCCAGAGTCAGAAAGTTGCGAAATGCATTTTTAAAATTTGTTTAAAAATTTTAAAAATTCCCTTGGAAGGGAATCCAAGGCCTCAAGTTGATTAAGCCACCTGTCCTCATTTACAGTGTATTGTAGTTATTGCTTCCCAGTTTAAACAGTGAGCATTTCCTCTTTTCACTGTGAATCCCTTCAAAAGTCAACTAGCTGGGTACTGTAATCTCAGGGCTTGGGACGCTGAGGCAGGAGGATCACTTTTGAGACTCCCCATACTATATATCAGAACACAAGACACAAGAAGTCAGTGGGCTGTCTTCCCAGTGATGGGAATTCACGGTTCCTAGGCACAGGGGCAATCCCTGCCTCTACCCAATAACCAGCTTGACCCACATGCCTCCTCCCCATGGGTTAGCCCTCACTCTAGTTCTTTTTCAGTGTTAAAGGGCTGATGAGGAGGAGGGGTAGACTGGAGGGCACTGTCTTTGTGGGTTTTCCTTTAATTTAAATCAAGTCAAGTGCAGGGCCTGCACATTTAAGAGATGCGGGGGAGGGAAGTGGGAAGCGTGCTAGTTCTGGTAGTCAAGAGTGAACACGCCTCCAGCTCTTGTCCATGGGGGACTGAGCCCATGAGTGCTCCCTCTGCTTGGCACCCTCCCAATTCCTCTCCCCTTCCCCCATCGTCCATTCCTGCCTCACTAGTCAGGCATAAATGGTGCCCTCTCTAGCACACCTGGTAAGCAGGTGCTGTGGGGGCGTGGCCGGTGCTCGGGGGACAGGGTGCACAGCGGGAGTGGGCGGGGCCTGCACGCAGGCAGGGCCAGCGGCTGGTGAGGGCGGAGCGCGAGCCAGGCAGGTTTGAATCCTCAGTGACGGCAGCCCTTCTGGGGCTGCGGAGGATATGAGTCAGCATTGACAGTGGCTACGGCAGATCCCGGCAGGTCTCGCGTCAGCCCGGCACCAAGTTGTGGGTCCTCATTTTTCAGCGCTTTGGAACTCCCGAGGTGTGAGTCCCTCTCTCCGGTGCGTGTCTCCAGGGGGCTTCTGTCCTACACTCGAATCCTCCCTCGTGGTGCCCCCCCTTCCCACCTTGACTGGCATCTCCCTTGAGATCGTCCTGGTCGGCCAGCGTACCCCCAGGTGAAGAACCCCTGGTAGTTTCCCTTCTGAGTGCACCCCTCCGTCTTGGTGTGCACCCCTTCAGGCCGGTACCTTTCAAAATGCGTGTCCCTTCAGGTGCATGTTTCCCCGAAGCCATGTACCTCTTTCGCAGTGAGATAATGGGATGGATACCAGGCCTTTCAGACTGGGAGGTTAACTTCCATGCCTACTCTTACAGACTTGCTTTTCTTGGTGCTGCTTATCCAGGGCCCTATTGCCCTCAAGGTGGCCATCCTGCATCCTGTTCCTAAAGTCCTGGTCAGGTCGCCCCAGTTCCTCCTAACTTTCCCAGTTCAGAGTGGAGGTATGCTGGTGGCTTGGTGCTCCTCTGTTCTCTAGCAGCAGATAGGGAAGATACCATCCTGTCTTGCCCTTAACTCCTTCCTACAGTCTGTGGTTTGTCCCTTTATGTATTCCTGACCCTAGAGGACTGTGGCACCTTTTGAATGTGCTGTGTGACATTGGGAACTGGTGATGCCTGGAACAATACTCAGTAGCTCTCTGCTGGTTGCTGCTGAGGTCCAGGTGGCTTCAGGTCATTTGGTGGAGTCAGTTCTGAGCCAGGCGGGATAGCCTGGCCCTCAAGCACTTGTAGTTTATGAAAGGAGGCTCACCTAGATTTCCAAGGTGGTTCTTTAAGTATGATTCAGAACATGAAGGTTAGTGAGGTTGGAGGCAAGAACCTGGTGGACTAGGGTGTAGGGTGGGTTTCTGAACAGCAGTCAGAAGAGTTGGGGAGCCCCTGGGTCAGAAATAGGGCTGACAGGGCCAAGAGGCTCCCCAGATATCCCCTTTTAACTGAAACCTTGGGGGGTTCCAGTACAGTGGCTCACACCCTGTGCTAGGCTTCTTTTTGGGGTTGATTGCAGTATGGTTCTATCCCAACTTGGCCCCTCTGTTCCGTATAGTCAAGGCTGCCACTGCACCTTGGACTCCTGTGCTGAGCCACAGAGAACATGCTCAGATTGAGTCATCCAGGGGAGACAGGTTCCCACTTCCATGCCTTTCTTTGTTCCTTAGTGCTTCAAATTGAGGTTTTGCAATTATTCCAGGGGCACAAGAGCAGTGGAATTGTCCCTCACTTAATTCTCCAGGTTTTAGGTGCAGAGGCTGTCAGTCCAGGCTGTCACATCCCTGCTCCAGATCAGGTATAAAGGATGGGGTGGAGCCTCTGCACTGGGCACAGCAGAGGCAGGATAGGGCAGGTTGCTGTGTAGATGGATGGGAACATATCCTCAGTCTGCCTACTTTGGCCAGCTCTGTGCAGATGTCCTGGTTCAGCACCCAGGGTTTGGAGACTGATGAGACCTGGACTAGTGGGACATGCTCAGCAGTGGACTATGAAGAAGGTATGAGATAGAGAGAAAGCTGTGCTTAGCTTGCTGTCACTGAAGAAGGGACCCTGAAGCATGCCTACTCTTGGGAGACACCTATTCTCTCCCAGAGACTGAGAGATGAGACTGGGGGTGGCATGTGGGCATGTGGTGTTAGGGCAAGAAAAGGAGCAGGTAGTGTTGTGAGGTATCCACCAGAGAAGAGTTTAAGTCAGTAAAAAGTCTTTTTTTTTTGTCTTTTTTTTTTCTTTTCTTTTCTTGAGACAGGTTTCTCTGTAACTTTGGAGCCTGTCCTGGAATTCGCTCTATAGACCATGCTGGTCTCAAACTTATGTAGTTCTGCCTTCCTCTGCCTCCCGAGTGCTGGGATTAAAGGTGTGCGCCACCACCGCCTGGCCAATAGGAAGTCTTTATTGGCCAGCTGCAGACTACACTGGGTGTTCAGGATCCAGTGCAGTCCTGAGCCTTTCTCAGGGTGAGCTTTTGAGCACAAAATACTCATACTGAGTTGACACACCTGGGTTGGTTGACGCACCTGGGTTGGTTGACGCACCTGGGTTGGTGGACACGCCTGAGTTGGTTGACACACCTCAGTTACACCTTAGTTTGAAGAACTAAGGAGCAGGAACAGTTAGCCAGAAGCAAAACTATAAAGCCCAGAAAGCAAAGGTAGTACATTTAGGGACTTCGCCAGAATTACAGAAGCAACTCTGATGGGTTAGATCTCTGTTTTCATTTTGCTGCCTACATGCTGGGTTTTAAGCTCTGAATGGTACTCTGTCATGGCGTCAGCTGTGCTTCTAGAGTTTTATCCTGACCTGCTACAGAGAGGTTTCCTTACAGCCTGTGTGCTGTCACTCCTTTTAGAGAGGCCCTTTTATGCCCAGGCAGTGGTGGTGCACGCCTTTAATCCTAGCACTCGGGTGGCAGAGGCAGGCAGATCTCTGTGAGTTCGAGACCAGCCTGGTCTACAGAGCAAGTTCCAGGACAGACTCCAAAGCTACACAGAGAAACCCTGTCTCAAAAAACAAAAACAACAACAACAGCAAAAATGAAATGGGGTAGAGGCCCTTTATAACCAGCAAGGGAAGACTAGAGCTTTAAGGAAAAGTTTATGTGACCTGTGGCATCTTTTTATTTGTTTATTTTTGAGACTAGGCTAGTTTTATAGTCCAGGCTGGTCTGGACCTCACAATTCTCTCTGCCTTGCCTCCCAGGTGCTGGGATTGCAGGTATATGCCACCACACCCAGTATATATGTTACCTTGAAGTTGAAGTCAGAGTTTTTAGGAACTGGGGGGCCTTAGTCAGCAGTGGGGACAAGACTGAACCACACAGCATAGACTGCACCAATGTACTGTGAAGAATGGGTAGGAGAGGCAGTAGCCACATATCAGAGCTACAGGTTCATTGCTTCTCAGATAAAGACTTGGAAGAGCAGGACCTTGGATTGACAGGTGAGAGTGCTGGCTGAGCTCAGTGGCTCCTTAAACTTCCTGCATGTTCAGGTTTGACAGTGCCTGTATTGAGAATGCGACACCACTCACAGGCATACTCCGGCAGCCAGCTCCTGTCTCTCCTCCCTCCGATGGCTGCGATGGCACAGAGTGCTATCTTCTTTACTGTATGGTCCCTGAGTGGCAGTCCTGTTCTGGCTGTGGGGGTTGGAGGCATGTGAGACCATATCATGCTTCTGACGTTCACTGTGTAGACCAAATTGGCCTCAAACTGTGATCCTCCTCCCTTAGCATCTGTAGTACTGGGATTATAGTGTTCTACCATACCCAGCAACCTCTGCTCCTGACAAGGAGGCTGTTTCTGGGGTGAGTGTGGTGGTCCTGTCTCCCTTAAGACCTCAAGGTGTCAGAGTTCATTATCTTAATGTGTTCAGCCTACACAGCCTCAGAACCATTTGCCTATTGGAATTAACCTCCTGTAAAAATTTTTAATAGTTAAATGTAGTTTCTTAGTCAAATTTTAACAAATGGTTAGAAGTAAAAGGAGACACAACTGAGCACATCTGGTACATTCCTGTATAATCCCAGCACTTGGAGGTGGAAGGCAAGAGGATCAGAAGTTCAGGTTGCCCTTGGCTGCATTGAGTTGAGGCCAGTCATGAGCTACATGATATCCTGTCTCTAAAAACCAAAAAGCAAAGAAAATGAAACAAAACCATACCTACAAAGTAGGACGTTTGTGGGCCAGAGCTGTGTCTCACTGCAGCAGGGGCTGTTCAGATGAAATACCCCTCCCTGGCTGTGGAGGAGAAAGCAGCCTTGTTGACCAGCAGAGGCTGGCAGGGACTGTTTTACTCTAGCTAGGTGGGTGTTGATGTTATGAGGTCAGGGATTCCTTCTGAGAGGTTTTGTGTTTGTGCTGGGTGAGAGGTGAGTGGGTAACACCAGGTTTATCTCGCAGGTTCCGCCTTAGATCTTCACCTTAGTGACATAAATATCGCGTCCTTAGATAAAGACTTGGAAGAGCAGGACCTTGGATTGACAGGTGAGAGTTCTGACTAAGCTCAATGGCCCCTTTATCTTCGTGCATGCTGCCTGGCTTACTGTAGGGATTGAGGGGAGCCATCTGCTGGGATCCTCTTCTTGCCTCTGCTACCTGCCTGTGTGACTCGGTTTCCTGCTGCTTCCTCAGTTTACCTCTGTTGTGACAAAGCAACCCTTTAGACTTGGCTGGGGCCTCTCATGAGGAAACATAAATTATTTAAACAGCTGTATGGCATAGAGAGGTTTCTATTATTACATCATTTTCTTCACCCTGAAAGTTACTTTCTCTGTTTCAAAAAAAGTCTACCCATCTTAGAGCCTAGTGGCTCTGTGAGTGCCCTGCTAGTGGTGGGTTCCTGGCTCTGCCAGGACCACTACCAGTGCTGCCCTGAGTTGGGGGCGCCTGACAGCTGCACCCCTGTGGGTGGTACTTGCTTGCTGGCCTGGTTCCTCTGGTATCTTCTAAAGTGCCCCTGTCCCTAGGTTTCCCTGGTGTCTAGCTGCCTAGTTACTGACCTGCAGGCTCATTGGCAAGTGGCTCTGTGGCAGAAACCCTGCCTGTCCTTGTTCACTCAGCCTCCCTCCTCCCACCAGGTCCCAGGTCGCTGGCAGGCTCAGCACCCGTCACCATTCCGGGCTCCCTGCCCCGCTCGCCATCCTTGCACTCGTCCTCATCCCTGTCCACCTCCCCACTCAGCTCGCTCTCCCAGTCCCTGTCTGGGCCACTCGTCTCCTCGGCTATGACGCCCCCCCAGCAGCCACCACCCCTCCGGTCGGAGCCGGCTACGCTGGGCTCTGCAGCCTCATCTTACAGCTCTTTAGGTGCGTGCCTGGGCGTGGGTCCCTCCCCGCCGGCTCTGGGTCCTGAAACAGGCCGTGTCCAATCTAGCCCTGGGTATTCTGACTGCGGGGCTTCTCACCTCCATAGTTATGTGTCTTGAAAGACACCACCCCCTCCAGCCCGTGTGGTGTAGATGAGTGGACAGACATGGTAGACATGTCTACCATGGGACAGCTGGTACCCACAGCTGGGCATTCTCACAATGCTCCAGATCAGTGTCTTGCTTGCCGGCTCACTCGGGGCTCTGGGTGGGGCATACATGGAGCTACCTTGGGGCCCCCGCAGGCAGTGTCTAGGATTCATTATATGATCCAAGCTATGAGAGGGAACTGGTATGACAGGTCAGCAGGACTCTGTCTTCTGCTCTCATATTGCCAGCAAGAGGCTGTTCACATCTTCCGTGATGTTCTATTTAGAAATGTGCCTGTCTCCAGATGTCCATCTTAACAGATAGCTAACATGCAGGAGATGACCTCAGAACTAGAGCTCTTCTGAATCTCCAGGGTCTGCTATAGAATGTGAACTGCTGGGGTTAGGAACTCTTTTTTTCTGTTCACACTCTTATCTTCCTGAGCCAACTGTGCCTCATTTAGGCAGTCTTGGAGCTGAATCTTCAGCAGTCATGAGCAAGTGACTTAAAGGGTACCAAGGTGGGTGGCCAAGTGAAGGGCAGAACACCTGCAGACACCTCAGGCCTTGGGTGCAGCATGGACCATATCATCCTTGTCTCTCCTAAACTCAGGTTTGAACGGCGTCCCTGGGAGCATCTGGGACTTTGTTTCTGGCAGCTTCTCTCCTAGCCCATCCCCCATTTTGAACTCTGGCCCTTCGGCTTCCTCAAGTGCAAGTCCAAACAGTGCTGAGCTGGCACGGGTCAGGCGACAGCTAGATGAAGCCAAAAGAAAGATCAGGCAGTGGGAAGAGTCTTGGCAGCAAGTGAAGCAGGTAAGCCTGTGGGAAGGAGGAGCCGGACATGGGAGGGAAGAGGGGGGTTTGGATACACAGGCAGGGCAGGTAAGCCTGAGGAAAGCCAGGCATGGCTGCCTCCTGTATGATATCTTGGGTTTTAGGCCTGTGATGCCTGGCAGAGAGAGGCTCAGGAGGCCAAGGAGAGAGCCCGTGTAGCGGACAGTGACCGGCAGTTGGCCCTGCAGAGGAAGGAGGAGGTGGAGGCCCAGGTAAAGCAGCTGCAGGAAGAACTAGAGGGCCTGGGTTTGTCCTCACTGCCAGGGCTACGGAGCTTGGGTGACATCAACGACATCCCTCTCCCCAAGTTGCATTCCCTGCAGAGCCAGCTGCGCCTGGACCTGGAGGCTGTGGATGGGGTAAGTCCTGCTGGGCAGTTGCTGTCACTTCAGGGGAGGGCAAAGAGGACTGGCTCCTTGCCTGGACTCTGGTTGGTGCCTTTTGCATGTGTCCTGTTGACTATAGCCAAGGTCCAAATACTATATGTACCTTGTCTCCAACATAGTTTCCTGGGTTCTGGCCACTCTCAGCCATGGCATCCCACTTAGCACCCATTGTGGGTACCCAGCTGCCAGCCTTGCCTGTGGCTAGACTGGCTGTGCTTCAGGACCCGGCACTCTGGCGGGGGTGGGGTTTCACAAGGGAAAGTCTTTTCTACTGACTGTTCTCCTCTGTGGGCCCCTAGCCAAATGTCCACCCCAGGCCTGACACACAAAGGATTTCTGTGACACTGCTGCTGTAGCTGGTGGCCCACTGTCCTGGGATACGGTTGTTTGCTTGGCCTTACCCAGTGTGCCTCGCACCAGCCTGGTGCCTTGACCTGACTAGGGGCAGTAAGAGAATGAAGACAAGATAAACACTGAAGGAAACAACACATACACAAAGAGAAGCTAGGTGCGGCTGGGCTGTGCATGCTCAGGTGGAGCTGTACCTATTACCAAAGCAACCTACAGCTTAGTGTGTCTACTGTGTGTGCAGATGAGGCAGCAAGTTAGCTCGCCTAGGTGGGGGAGTCTACATGAGCAGTCCCAGAGGAGGAAGCTGCATGCAGTTGCTCATTTTTGCACATACTGGTCAAATGTTTTTAAACACTCGTACTTGGAGAAGACCTCTATTGAAAGGCTTTTCTAGTTTCCCACGGGTCCGAGGTATTATCCTTCCCTGATACAGTCATATCCATGTCAGCTGTACACATTTACTCAGGATTTCATTTACTCTTTACACATTTACTCCTTTGTGGCTCCTCACACTCACCATCACCTCTTCCCTACAGGTGATCTTCCAGCTTCGTGCCAAACAGTGTGTGGGCTGCCAGGAGAGGGCCCATGGCACTGTCCTCCGGCCCTGCCAGCATCGTGTCTTATGCGAGCTGTGTGCAGCCAGTACCCCTGAGTGCCCCTACTGCAAGGGCCAGCCTCTCCCATGGTGACCAGAGCGAGACCTATTCCTTCCCTGGTGAGCAGTGCAAAGGCCTCAGCATGCCATGTGCCACTTCAGTGTCGAAACTTGCCTCCAGTACCACCCACGCCAGGATGTGAGTTCATGCCCACTGCCCAACAGCCTCTCATATTACTCTTTCTTCCCTACCATCTCCTACCAACGGTGTCAAGGTATTCTCAGAAAACCTTTGAAGTACCACCACCCGTCCTCTGGGCAGGTGGCATGTTTTTGGTGCCCCTAGTCATGACGCTGCTGTGGCCAGGCCAGTGGGAGGTCAGGCCTTGTCAAAGCACTTTGTAAACCGAGGAATCTAATTAGACATTATAAATTGTATAAGCTGCTTTCTAGGTCCATGTTTTTTAATATGCGATAACATGAAGCTTTATAAGTGTACTGTGAACTTGAAGTTTCCTATCAGTTTGTTGTTAACTCATAGTAATGGTAACTACGTTAGATTTCATATTCTGAAACTATTTAGGAAATGAACATTTATCTAGTAGTGAAGACCTAGGATTTTTACATTTAAAATTAAGTGCAGACAAATAGTATTTATAAGCAGAGAGTGGTTATTGAGAGACACATATACATTTAGATGTTCTTAATTTTATGAAAGGAACTAATTTTCCTAAGCATGTGCAGGTGCACATGTAGGTGGAGTTTTATATTCCAGTATCACAGAGTGATATCCAGAGCTCTGTCATGCACTTATGTGATCCGTGGCCACTTCCAAGTGCCTGTGCCTTGCAAAAGAAGTGAAGGAATTGGTTCATTTGGTTTTTTTCTTCTCCCTTGAAAGACAATTTCATGCTAATGAAAAATGCAGCAAAGGAATCAGACATTCAGAGGAGTCCAAGATCTACTCGGAAGGAGCTGTGTTCTGATGTCTTGTCTGTAATGGCAACGGTGCTTTGTACCCTGAGTCGCCCGGGGCACCCTAGCTTGTGCTGAACAAAGGGGCTGTGAACCTGAGACTTCATTCTGCTGCCCCTGTGATCACCCTCACTCACTGCTAGCTGATCCAGAGATTCCAGGACAGCTTTAGCAGACACCTGGTACCTGAGCTGTGCATCCAGTTATGATCAGAATCCATCCCATGACCAGCAGCCCCAGCTCTGCTGCAGCTCACCTGGCAGCTTCCAAGGAGAAGGCAGCACCCTCACAGCTTGGCCTCAGGCCCATGGCTAAAATCCTGCTGAGAATGTGTCCAGGGTGATGACTTTCAGCCTTCTATAGTAAGAACTGGGACTGTTCCTGGAAATCTAGGGAGGAGGCAACTGTCCAGGCAACCCCTGCCTTTGGTGGCAGACCTAGGAAGGGCAGGTATCCTACCTGCAGGTTCTGCCCAGGCCTAGAAGTGGTTCTCTTCTCTCATGGCTTTGCCAAAGACTTTTAATAGCATTTTTTAAGTGCAAAGTGACTAGGTAAAACGTTTTTATCAGTGACCAAATTAGAATGTATTAATATAGTAGGAGATTGAAAAGCATTTTCTAATACAAGACAAACTGGTAGAAAAGCTCTATTAAAGGAAGTGGATCCTCAACATTCCGCAGCTAGCCCACCTCTTAATAAGGTAACTATTGACCTGGTTTTAGTGACTATTTTGTTTTTAATTATAGTGGTAATGATTTATTAGCTCAGTACCTAGATCATGTGTATTTCGTGCTACTGTTACCATGGTTTAAGATTGTTTATTTTTATTCATATTTATGCACTTGTTTCCCATATTGGCCTTTGGTCTCTGTGGTAACAGGACAATGTTTGTGATTGATAGCTCATCTGGACATTCAAGCTGTAACAGTTACAAGCATTAAGCTTTAGGTTGTGTGTGTGTAAGCTATTCTGGCTAACTCCTCCTGGGCTGACATTCCAGGCTGGGGCTGTGGCAGTTATGGGACTGCTGTGGGACGTCTACAGGGTCCCACCCAGTGACTGGAGTTTTCTTGAGCATCTGCTTTTCTGGAATCAGGCTGGGCTCTGAGGATAGGTGTGCAGGGGTAAGACCAAAGAAGGGGCCACTTCTCCCATCCATCCCAGACCTCCTGTGAGCTATGGCTCCTAGGGTCTATCCTGGGTGGGAAGAGCCAAGGAGGAGAGAGATGGGTTTAAGGCCCACATGTGCATACTGGTGAGGTCATGGTCTGGGAACTGAGGCTCACCATTGTCCTGTTGCCTATTGTCTTTTAACTCTCTAGTGTTAAATATTAACAGTAAATGATGGTGTCAGAGTTTTGTGTATCTGGTTGGCAGACCTTCCCCCAGTATGGATGCGCATGTGGATTAACTTATGGAAGCCTTTGTGTGCATTTGTTTTCAGAAATTAGCTGAGAATGTTATGTGAATGGAATCTTCTTAATCCAGAAGGTCATATTTATAATACATACCCATTTACTTAGTGAATTGTTTAAAGTTGTTAACATTTGTTTAAATTTTTTTACTATAGCATTTATGCAATGGTTTACAGAATTCATGGAGTTATTTTTTATCAGTATGAGATTAATTAAAACTTTGAAATTTATTCTGTCTGTGTTTCTGGGCACAACCAAGGCTAGCCAGCAGGTTCCTGTGTCTGTCAGTGACCCCGCCTGACCTAGAAGATGCCAAAGAAATCATGTCCCCACCACACCAGTTCTGTGCACCCCACTGAGACCACACCTGTCCTCTCTGGAAGGACATTTGCCACTGAGGATGTTTCTTTATCTCTCATGCCGCCTAGATCACAGGGTGTTCCCACGTAGTCCTGGATCACCCCGCAGCTGCTCTGAGGTAGCATCTATGAGGATCTGCTGACCCAGATGCTTAGAGTGGGTGGTTTCTGCTAGAATGGGTGGTAAGTGAGGATCTGTCCTCCAACTGCTGCAGGCCCCAGCATGGCTGGCAGCTGACCAGGGCAGACAGACTGACCTGTGGGCTGAGTGTGGGAGATTCCATGTTGGTCCAGCAGACTGGTCAGTCTTCGTACCTCCTGTGACAGCTCTGAGTGTGCCTGAACAAGAATGCCAACCCAGTCAAACCCTGGTGGTGGCTACCAGGATTAGGGACCCTGTAACCTTCCCCTGTCCCCAAACTCTACCTTTCTACAGTTGTCCAGGGTCTCAAGCCCCAGGCCCTTGGAACCTCCTGCCTGCTGGGTGGGATGGGTTTCTCCTGGGACCTTTAAGTAGCCAGCATCCTCAAAAAGCACCCTGAGCAACTTCTCATAGCCCTGAAGGTGGAGGAGGAGGCAGAAGGAGTATCTCGTAGAGCAGGCAAGGGGACACCCCTGAGTGTGCACCCACCTGCAGTGTGATTAGCTCGTCTGCCAGGTCCTGTTCCACCTGGTCCCAGCGCTGCTGCAGGGCCTCCGACAGGGTTGGATACACTACAAACCAACGGGAGCCAAACATTGCAGAGCCTCCTACCTACCCTCCTCTTCCCTGGACCCAGCCCTACCCGGAGGCCTACCTAACAAAGAGTGGGGATGGCACACAAGGGGGGTCTCGAATGTCAGTGCATAGACACAGGTGCTTGGCTCAGACACATGGGCCAGTCGGTTGATCTTTCCACAGGTGAGCTCCACCTGGGAAGGAAGGGAGCCTCAGTGGCTGGTGGGGGTGGGGTAGCTCTCTACCACCCACATCCCCTATGGGCCTCACCTTGCTCTGCCTGCTCCGGGAGTGGCAGGAGTCCCCATCAGTCATCCACATGCCCTTGAAGGTATTGTTGGCGATTTCCCATTCATGCCAGATGCTGGGGAAAAGGGGTGGCAAAGCCATGATGTGGGGGCCTCAGGAGCAGACTTGACACTGCTGCCCTAGCTCAGCTTACCCAAGGATACCGCTGTAGGCGTTCCAGCGGAAGGTCTGCTCATGCTGGGTCACGTTGTGGAAAGGGCAGAACTCATACTTGTACCTGGGGGGCACAGGAGCATGAGGAGCTCTGCAGACTGGGCCCACTCCACCCACCAGCCCGGCACTCACGTTGACTCCACTAGGCTGAAGCACTTGCCAGCAAGTCTGAAGAGATGCAGGGGCCCTGGGGGGAGAACACCACAGCAGTTCAACTTAAGCATAAACCTCTGCTACACCTAGAGCTAGAAGCTAAGGGAGCGGGGGGCACCAATCATCAAGGCCAGAAAGCACCAAGTTCCTTTCCGTATGGGATTAGGAATGGTCAGATGCTGGCTGACCTAATCCCTGGGGACTGATAATCCATGTCTAGATCACAGAACTGGTTATCTGTGGCAGGACTCCCATGTCTGTTCCTGTGGAGGGGGCCCTCAGTGTCTGGAGCCTAGTTGTAGACTTAGACCGCAGACACACTGGTAAAACCAGCCACTAGCCAAGAAAGGTAGGGATATGTGTTTGTGTATACATGTCTGCATGCATGCTAGTGAGATTTGGGGAAGTTAAGACAGTAGCCATGTGGCATCCTCAGAAAAATAGGACTGACTAGTCCAAAGCTTAGGACCAGTTTGCAAAGATGGACAGAGTATTCTGTTTTTTCTAAGAACCAATTTTCAACAAAACCCACAAGGCATACAAAGAAACAGGAATACATGTTCTATTCAAAGGAGCATTTAAAAAATCCGTAAAATGAGCCCTATGTGGTGCCGCATACTTTTGATTCCAGTACCCTGGAGGCAGAGGCAGGTGGACCTCTGTGAGTTCTAGGCCAGCCTAGTGAGTTTCAGGATAGCCGGGACTCTGTAGAAAGAACCTCACACAATGTTTTTAAAAGTCCATATGCCAGGGCTGAAGAGATGGCTCGGGGTTGTGCTCTTCCAGAAGACCCAGGTTCAATTCCCAGCACCCACATGGCAGCTCATAGCTATCCGTGGCTCCAGTTCCAGGGAACCCAATACCTTCACACAGACATGCAGGCAAAACACTAATGCTCATAAAATTCTTTTTAAAAATCTGTAAGCCAATAGAGAATTCCATACCCAAGGAAACCATCCTTCACCTATAAGGGGGCTGTGAGACTCAGAAGTGGAGTGTCTGCTTATAGATTTTGGAACTCAGACATTGTCATACATGCTTGTTACATCTTGCTAAATATACTGTTTATCAACATACAATGGCTGTCCTTTCTTAAAAAAAAAAAGAAAAGAAAAGAGAAAGAAAGAAAAGAAAAGCACTCAGGAAGCAGAGGCAAGCAGATTTCTAAGGTCCAGGCTAGCAAGAGTGTCAGAGTAAAGTAAAAACAACCCTGCCACTCTCTGCCTATTGAATGGAGAGTTTAATTCATTTAGATCAACAAGTAAGATGACAGATGGTGTGCCTTGGAGCTTTTAGTCCATTTCTTCAGTGCTTGCTTTTAAACAGACAGGAACTGTCTTGTTACCCAGACGGGCCTCAAACTCCTGTCTTACAGTTATCCTCCTGCCTCAGCCTCGAGTACCTAGAACTATGGGTGCATACCACTGTGCCTAATTCCTCCCTCCTACTGGACACATAACCAGGGCCCACACATGCTATGTGAAATCTTGTTTGCTTTTGTTTTGTTTTTTGAGACAGGGTTTCTCTGTGTAGCTCTGGCTTTCCTGGAACATGCTCTGTAGACCAGGCTGGCCTCGAACTCAGAGAGGTCCACCTGACTACCTCCCAAGTGCTGGGATTAAAGGCGTGCACCACCACCACCCAGCTGTCTTTTTGTTGTTTTAAGATTTATTTATTTCCTGAGTGGTGAGGCATACCTTTAACCCTAGCACTCAGGAGGCAAAGGCAGGCAGATCTCCGCTTACAGGACAGCCTGGTCTACAGAGTTCTAGGATAGTCAAGGCTACACAGAGAAACACTGTTTAGGGGAAAAAAATGTATTTTATGTATCAGTGTTCTGCTTGTATGTATGATGTATGTATGTATGTATGTGTACCACATGCAGTGCCTGTGGAGATCAGAAGAGGGTGTCAGGTTCTCTGGAAGTGGAGTTACAGGAAGTTTTAAGTTACCATGTAGGTGCTGAGAACTGAACCATAGTCCTCTGCAAAAGCAGCAAATAATCTTAACCACTGAGCCATCTCTCTAGCCCCTATTCTCTTTCTGAAATACTGCCATGTTTTTGTTACTACCACTGAGATTTTTTTATTTTTTTTTATTTTTGTATTTTTTACAAGGCAGGGTTTCTCTGTATAGTCCTGGCTGTCTTAGAACTCACTCTGTAGACCAGGCTGGCCTCAAATTCAGAGATCCACCTGCCTCTGCCTCCTTAGTGCTGGGATCAAAGGGTGTGTGCCACCACAACTGGCTGAGACTTCTAAATTTTTCAATCAAATTTTTACATTATTTAATGTAACTACCATGGGGATTTAGAAATTTAAATTGATGTGGGGTTTAGTAGCACATGCCTTTAATTCTAACACTTGGGAGACAGAGTGGATCTCAAAGTCTGAGGCCAGTCTGGTTTACAGAGTGAGTTCTAGGCCAGCCGGGGCTACACAGTGAGACACTGTCTCAAAAATGGGAAAAACAGGGCTGGAGAGATGGCTCAGTGGTTAAGAACATTGCTTGCTCTTCCAAAGGTCCTGAGTTCAATTCCCAGCAACCACATGGTGGCTCACAACTATCTGTAATGAGGTCTGGTGCCCTCTTCTGGCCTGTAGGAACACATGTAGACAGAATATTGTATACATAATAAATAAATAAATATTTTTAAAAAATGGGAAAAACAAACAAAACCTCACTTAACCATAGTCCCTGTGTCTCCAGCTACTTTATAGGAGAGCTTCCTTCCCATCTTCACCCCAGCTACTGTGGTGTCCTCTCAATTCATGTTGAGTGGTTTGCTGTTTCCGCTAGGGCAGGTCTGTTGATTCTCCTGCAGGTTTTGTTATTTAGAAAAATAACTGCCTTTTTCAGGCCCAGCTGAGGGGCTCAAGCATATATTCTGGAGTTCAATGTGGCTTCTCCTAAGAAATGCACCTTAGCTGTGAGGTGAGCCAGGCTAAAGTGAAGGAGTGGAACAGACACGGTGAGCTGTGTGAGACTAGTAAGAACAAAAATTGGCTCTCTGAAAAGATCAACAATCCCGACACTTGAGAAGCTGAGCATGGTGGTTTTATGGCATGAGGAGGCTGTAGCAGGATGGGTGTGGTGGTGCAGACAGTAATTGGGGGGTGTTATTCAGGAAAGTGTTCGCTGTATAAGCATGAGGAACTGAGTGTGGGTCCTCTGCACCCACATAAAAAGCTGGATACCTATAATCTCAGTGCTGGAGAGGCGGGGGAAGGAAGATCTCTGGGCTTGCTGGTCAGCTAGCCTAGCTGAATCCTTGAGCTTTAGATTCAGTGAGAGACCTGGATTCTCAATAAGGTGGAAAGCAATAGAGGAAGACACCAAGCTCTGACCTCTGGCCTCCACACGGGCACACACAAATACATAACATGCAAAGTAAGAACAAGGGGGCTGGAGAGAGAGGTCAGTGGTTATGAGCCTTGTTGCTCTTGTAAAGGATCCAAGTTCAGTTTCTAGCACCCATATGGTGCCTCACAACCATCTGTAACTCCAGTTCTAGGAGATCCAGTGCCTTCTGACATCTACAGGCATTTCACACAATACAGTGCACAGATATACATGCAAGTAAAACACTCAGATACATAAAATTTTAAAAGTTTAAGAAAAAAATGAATAAATAAAATAGGCAAACCTGTGGCTGATATGACCAGGAAAAGCAAAAACTCAAACCCAGAAATGAGGTCAGGCGTGGTGGCGCACGCCTTTAATCCCAGCATTCAGGAGAAACAGGCAGATCTCTGTGAGTTCGCGGCCAGCCTGGTCTACAAAGTGAGTTCTAGGACAGCCAAAGATACACAGAGAAACCCTGTTTCGAGAAACAAAATGAAAGTTGGGGCATTTGATAGCAATTTTACAGAAATAAAAAGGATTGAGTCACTATGAACAATTATACAACCAAGACATTGACATAAATGAAACTGACAAGTTCCTCCAAACACAGGGTATGCCCACAAGGCATGTGAGTGAGCACACCTGTAAATTTAGGCATTTTAATAACAACCTGTCTCCTAGGCTGAATGACCCTCCAACCAAGTAGGTCTCTGTCACTCCTCTCCCCATCTCCTCTCTGTTCTCTCTCCTGCCACGATTGTCATGGAACTCACCATGTAGCCCAGACCTGGCCGTGAACTAATGATCCTCTTCCCTCAGCTCCCAAGTGCTGGGATTATAGTCTGGGACAGCCTATGCACACTGCCTCTACTCTTCGCTTTTTCTTTCCAATATTACTCTCTACTAAAATAAACATATTTGCAGTACTGGATTCCTGGCAATGTCTGGCCCCTCCTCCTAGCCAATCAAGGAGCTACCAGCTAGTTTGGAAGAGCAATGGAGAAAATACCCACATCTTATGCCACCTCCTCACACATGTGCTCACAGTGTGATGGCAGCAGGCCTTTGGACTCCTGTGTCTATCAGGAATGTCACAAGAAGTGTCTTTTTTCACATGAAAAGGATTGTGATGGCAGCTGAGCCCGACTGGTTCACTGCTGGAGGAGGCTGGTAGGTGCTCCTTGCATACAGCTTCAGAAGCTCCAGCGTGGCTACCTCTCCTCCAGGGGATCAATGCTACAAACCAGCATGTCCAGCACACCTCACCTCAGATAGCGAGTCACCAAATCCCCAGAGTGCAGCCCTCAGCTAGCCAAGGTCCCTTCATGCTGAGGAGCCCTGAGCCTCCTTCAACAGCTATGTCCCACTCTCTGTAGTCCTTCTGGGATCTCAGCTCCCTCCCAGCTTTCCTGGGCAAAGGATTCTGATGCGCTGATGCCCTCTCCATTCCCTTAGATCTAGACAGGCTAAGCACACCTGGAGTGGACGCTTCACATCCAACACCCTTGCAACTCCTAAACAGTCTCAGCACTTGTAGGAGGCGGAGACTTTAGGATCCCAAGTGGAGGCCAGCTTCAATCTACATTTGGAAAACTCCGTCTTACAAACACAGAAGCTAAGGATGTAGGTCAACACTAGAGAGCTTGCTTAGCCCTAGGTAATCGCCAACAGGGAGATCGAAAAGGGGATTGCAGTTCCAGTATATACTCCCGAGCATTCAAACACTCACATTTTGACAAACGAATACATGAACCTCCAGCGAATGCATTATCGTTGACCTTCATCCAAGGTACCCTATCCTGCCGCCCCCACCCCCAGCCGAGGGCTTTCCTCGTCCCCTTGGTCAGCACCTCGGTCAGCTCCACGTTCCCTCCCGCGCTCACCAGACACAGGCGAAGGCTCTCTCTTAGGTTGAAGGCGACTTGCCTGGGGCAGGAACGGGTTATTCAGCCTACGGGAAAGAAAATGTCAGGGGAGTCCGCCACGTCCGGCACCCAAGCCGCCGGACCGCGGGACACTTACCCGAATGTGTTGGGTTCCTCCACCACCTTCATCTTCCCGGCACGTGCCGGCGCGGGCCCTACGGAGAGCGAAGTGATGAGCAGGGAGCAGAGGCGGGGGCGACGCTGAAGTGCGGAGGGGATGCACACGGAGCCACTGACCGCGCGCCGCGAGCCCCAGCAGCACCAGGAAGCCGACCAGCCGCACCGCCATCGCTCCCCGGGTCGCACAGTCACGTGAGCGACAGCAGGAACTGAATGCACTCAAAACCGGAAGCTGCGCGAGCGCGCACGCGCACACTGCACGAACAAACCCTGTGGCTGAGAGTTTTTCTGGGGCTATGGGCCGCAGGAAGGTTTCGCGGGGGTCCAGGGCGGAGAGCGGTAGGGTTCGGCGTCCCCCGGGCCGCTCTCTGGATGCTTTCGCTGAGGAGGTGGGCGCTGCCCTGCGCGGTGAGTTTGGTGCGATTGGAGCAGCGCTTCGGGCTGGGAAGCAGGCGCTGAGGATCCGCTCTTCTCTCTCTCCCTACAGCATCCGTGCAGCCCGAGGAGGCCGAGGGCCAGGACGAATCGGGCCCGGCGGCGCTGCCTTGTCCCCTGGCTATGTGGGAGCTTGGTCACTGCGACCCCCGGCGCTGCACGGGCCGTAAACTGGCCCGCCTGGGTCTGGTACGCTGCCTGCGCCTGGGCCAAAGATTTGGCGGTCTGGTGCTCAGCCCCGTAGGCACTCAGTACGTGTCTCCCGCAGACAGGTAGGCACCAGAGGCCTGGGGGGCCGGGGAGGGATCGGAGTGCCTCCCCCAGTATCTTGTCTTTGTTAAACTATCCCTTATGGAGGTCATTTTCTTCAAGCCTTACTTTTTGGTCCTGGATGTCCACGCCTTTCACATGGGCAGAGTTATATCTAACTTGACCCTTTTCATAGAACGAGGCTTCGAGTGTAGAAGAGCTTAGGAGAAAAATTTAAGTAAACATTGTCCAGCTACCCACAGCCACTGCCTCTAAGCTTGGGAGTCAGTGTTGTAGTGTACTCTACAATAGTAGTTTGTAAATACCAGACCATCTCATCTGTGGTGAAGCCGGTCTCCAAGGACATGTCTTACTTGAGGTCCCAGAACCTCCCCTACACTCTCTGGCAGACAGCTGGTGGCACAGTCAGGGGTCGCTGTCATAGACTGCTCCTGGGCCAGACTGGATGAGACACCCTTTGGGAAGATGCGAGGGAGCCATTTGCGGCTCCTGCCTTACCTCCTGGCTGCCAACCCTGTAAACTATGGCCGGCCCTGCAGACTTTCCTGCGTGGAAGCTTTTGCCGCTGCTTTCTGCATTGTAGGTGAGTGTCAGACTGACAGAAGCCTGGCCTGGCGGTCTGGGATCTGACTGTGGTTTCTTCTGGTAGATTCTGAGCAGGGGGATGTGAGGAGAATGTATTGGGGACCATCAGAACAGCCCTTGGTTTCAGGCCCAGTGCCCCACATACAGCTTTGACCTTGTGAATCAGAGGTAGAGGCGAAATGGACAGCTGTCTTCCCGGGATGGAATATGGGTCGTCACTGCCATGACAGCACTGCCCCAAGAGTCTTTGTCCTCAGTATCTGAAGGGAATGTAGAACTCAAGGAGAGGCCCGGATGGAGACCCCATAAGACATAGGGACTAGCATAGTAGGACTCTTTCTCAGTAAATGAGAGGAACCTTGGGAATTGTAGAGGTGGTGGCAGCTTCCTAGGCAAGAAGGGGGTGATATGATTGTGCTCTCTAAAGGGGTCCCAGGTATATTTTTAGTTTTTGTCCTACCAGGCTTTTCAGATCTTGCTGTCATTTTGCTTCAGAAGTTTAAGTGGGGCAAGGGCTTCCTGGACCTGAACCGACAGCTCCTGGCTAAGTACGCAGCCTGCCGTGGCCCAGAGGAAGTGCTGCAGGCCGAACAGGGGTACTTGGCTAGCATCAAGGACACCCCCGAGGAGGAGGAGATCGGTGAGGCCTGGGATGGTTGGGAGCCCCCGGGAAGCTGTGAAACCAACCAAGCCCTTTGGAGCCTGGAGCCACCAGTTTGGCTCTGCCCTGAAATCACTTAAGAGGTCACCTTTCTCTCTATGTTCAGATCCCTTTGATGTGGACTCCGGGAGAGAGTTTGCAAACCTCAACAGGCCTGTGACTAGTACCTGGTAGGTCCTGTGGGTGGTGGCTCAAGCCCAGTGTGCTCCACGAGCCTTGACCCAGTCCCTCCTGCCTTGTGGATATGGCTTTCTAAGCGAGGCCTGGTGGTGCTTTAAAGTGTAAAGCAGCTGCCTGCTGGAGGTGGTGGGGCCCAGAGCATCCCCTGCTTAAGGGCCTCTATGGTTGAGTGTCACAGGACAAGTAACCTTGTACTGGCCCGTGTGTGTGCCACGGCACACACCTCCCTTCCAGGCTGCCTGTGGACACGGATGACATTGATGAGTCTGAGGACGACAGTGACAGTGAGGATTCTGGGGAGGCCGGTGATGAGTGTGAGGAACAAGGAGCTGGTGCTAGTGGAGGAGATAGCAGCTGCTCTCAAGAGGCAGAGACAGAAGAAGAGGCTAGGCCAGAGACTCCCCTGAACTCTGGAAAGAAATCAAGAGACCACGGAGAGACTGAAGGTTGCAAACACATTATTGAAGCTGGTGTGTGTTAGTCCAGATGTGGCGGTGGGACTTGGGGATGGACAGGCCTATTGGGACAATTCTGTGACAGCCTTGTTTGGAGTCCTACCTTGGAGCTCTTGATAAAGCCAAGAAGGAGCCTCCCAGTATGAGTTTTGTTGCTTTGTTCTTGGCTGAGGGTTGGGGACATCTGCCTGGGTGGATCTGGGCTATGGGGTAAGTCTGGTATGGTCACATACAGATGTGTAAAAGGGTATCTGACTAGCTGGCCAAGAGCCCTTCACCCTGATCTCCACCCATGGGCAATGCCCCTTTCCTCGTGGTGGCTATGGGAGAAACTCTCCTGGGCCCAGGAACCAGGTGGGGACCAGAACGCAAGGAACCTTCAACTGGCCCCTTGCTCACCTGCTGTGGGTAGAGCATCTAGATCCGGAGAGAGAAGCTGCAGGTGGGAGAAACCCTGACCCTCACCCTTTGCCTGGGGCCCTGACAGCTGCTAACCTCCCACTTGTTCCCTGACCTTGCCTCTGCCATGGAGACCTATCCTGGGGGTGCAGGGCAGAGCCTCCCCAGTGAGGCTTCCCCGGTGGCACTGCCGTCATGAGGCACAAATCATTTCTCTTCAGGCTAACTGATGGTTACAAGGGTGTGAACAACAACATTGGCCTCCACCCCGGGACCCGTACTCGCCACTCCCTAGTTGTGACCACAAATGTCTCCAGATACCACCTAATGGCCTCTACGGGCAGAGTCCACAGAGAGCACATGACCCTTGCTGTCATATCAGGTCCCATCCATCCATCCTGCTCTGTGTCCATGGGCAGATGCTGGCCAGGTCCCTCTGAGTTGACTGCCCATATTCAAGGTGGGGCATGCTGGGGCACAAAGGGGTCACAGCACACCAAAAGACACAGCCAGACAGAAGCCACAGGGTACAACCAGAGCAGGCAGGTCACACGGTGAGGGAGGGGCCCCACAGGGAAGGGAGGAGGGCCAGGCTGTGACCACCAGGGTCCTCAGAGGTCAGCCTCCATACACTTCTCCAGCTCCTTGAGTTTCTTGACAAACTCCTGGGCCTCTTTGTTGGAGCGACCTTCCAGCATCCGCAGTGCAGACCTCACTGTAGGTGGATACGAGGGTGGGCATGAGGAAGGCAGTATGGGCCAGGCCCCCCTCCCTCAACCCCACAGAGTCTCACTCACCCTGAGCTCTGGGCCTGCGCAGGTGTAGTGTGATGGGCTGCCCAGGTCTCATGCCCCCTCCCACGTGTGGCCTTGCGATGCCACTGACACCACCTAGGCCAAGGGCCGCCTCCCCAGCAAAGTCATTGGTGGACAGCCAGTCGTGGTCCATAACCGTGAACAGCACACAGGCCCCGCGGCGGCGGCATGCCTCTGCAGGCACAGAGCTATAGACAGGGCAGTCAGGAGCCTGCTGCAGCCAAATGGTACAGGCATGGGGCACAGCAAGCCAGGCAGGCACTCACAAGTGGAAGAGCTCGTCATACACGGGGTGCAATGTCCGGGCTTTGACTTGGGTCCTCTGACTGCGGACCAGTGGGAAGAGGTGCGGTGGGCCAAGCTCCACAATCACGAAGGGGTCACTCAGGCCTAGGAGACACAGTGTGAGCCACCCGTCTCCCTGACCCCTCGCCCCCGTTGCTGCTGCGCCTCACCGTTGGCATCCAAGGGCAGGAGATCGGCTGCGTGCAGCACCTCCACAGCTAGTCGCTGCTCAGCCGCTTCATAATGGCATCGGACAGTCAGACGCCCAAACCGGTGCTGCTCCAGAGACCTCTGTGGGAAAGGCCAGTGGAAAAATCCAGTGAATGCAACCAGGTCTCAGGGCAGGCCTGCGGATAGACAATGGCATGTCGTCCCACCTGTTTGAGCTTGTCCAGGTAAAACTGCTCGATGCACTCTCGGGTGGAGCATTTGTGAAGCCGCAGCTCTTCCTCCAGCCTCTGCAAAGGAAGCTGGCACTAGTAACTCTGGTCCCAGGCAGGGCAGCCACCTCAGGTTTCACCTGCACAAGGATGTCTACTTGAGGGCGGCAGGCTGAGCTCACCCGAAAGCTTACCTTGTAGCTCCCATCCCTCAGGTTCTCCAGGGGCAGCCCCTGGCCCTCAGCATGGAAGAAACTGACCAGAGCCTACAACAGGGAAAGGGGCTTGTCAGAGGGCTGGCCTGTGCTGAGGACCTGTGGGCTCAGGAAGCCCTGGGTCTTAGGAGCCAAGGCAAAGCCACTTCTCAAATCTGAGGCACCTCAGACTTCCCCAGGGAGCCTGGGAAATGCCAGCACCTGAGGCCAGACAGCTGTGGGGACAGGGTGTCCTAAGGTATTTGGGCTGTAGGGCTACCAATGGAGCTGTTGTGTACCCCGGCAAGCTTAGTGTCCTAGAGGGGCAGCAGGGAGAGGGCCTTGGGGAGATGGACCCCAGAGCTCCTTGTGACCCTACCTCAAGTGTGAAGTGGAAGCGTCCATAGAAGTCAGCAGAGACATCTCTATTTGCACTCAGTGCCTGCAGAATGGCCTGCAGAAGCAGCTCCCAGAGGGCCTCCAGCACCCTGGAGGAACACCACCTGGGTGACTCCCTGGGCCAGCAACCACCCCACCTACCTCCCACTACCCAGCTGGTACCTGCTCAGGTTCTCCTTCACCAGCGAGTCATTCAGCAAGGCCAGCTTCTCATCCAGGTACTTCAGGAGTGGGGCTACAGCCTGTAGGCAGGAGTCCTTGGGGTGAGCCAAACTGGACTCCAGCCTGCCCCTGGCCTTCGCCCTACCTGCCTATCCCCTTCACTTACCTCATCATTCTGAATGGAGTCAGGGGACAGGCTGATGTGCTGTACATACTTCCTGATGTCTGCCACCATCTGAGAGAGGGGTGGTGCTCAGAACAAGCGTAGGGATTCAGAAACAGTCCCCACATAGGTACCAGTCCCGGGCCCCACCCCTCTGCCCACCTTGGAAGTCAGATGAGCTGTCACAGTGTGGGCTTCCCGCTGAAGATCTTCATCCAGGGCCTGCATGCAGCTGAGCAGAGGGCGGGGGAGCCCTCCCTCCAGCCCATTGGCCCCCTCTGGCCACGTCAGGCCTCTCAGTGCCTGTCCCGCGGCTCTGCGTACCAACTCTACGTTGTTGAGCACCACACAGAGCTGGGAAGGGATAGCCAGGGGCGGCTGGGCAGCTGTCAAGGGAAGGGGGGTAACCCCACCCAGCCACCTGCTGGCCTCACCCGACATTTAGCCACTCACCTGCTCACTCACTGCCTCACCGGCAGCCCCGGGCTGGGTGTCCACCTTCTTCCTCAGCAGTTCCGTGTAGAAGAGGATAGCCTCACACATGGCCTGGAGCAGAGATGGGCTGGGAATGTGGGGCCCGCCCCTGCCCCATCTCCAGATCTGCTCCCCACCTATCCCTAGTCCATGTACCTGGCTGAGCTGAGTGCCTAGTCCCTGAGCCTGGGCAGGGTCAGGCCAGGCTAAGCGAACCCAGAGCTCCTGGATGTGAGTGAGGCAGAGGCTGGCAGTGGCTGCGGAGCTGCTGTGTTTAGAGGCAGCATCCACAGGCTCCAGCTACAAAGGCAGAAGGGGGCTGATGTTGCAAGGGTACAGGATGAGCCAGCACCATGCAACTGAGCACACACTCACCGTGTCTACATCCACAGCTCCCTGCAGGCGCCACTTGGCCTGGTCCCTCAGCACATGCAGCCAGAGCTTCACGGCTGGCAGAAACGGGGTGTGGATGCCAGCCAGGGCTAGCGAACGGCTTTCCCTGCAGTGAACACTCGCTCAGAGCCCATCGGTACTCACATACCTTCACCCAGAGGTCTCCAGGTTCCGAGCTAAGGGGATACCAGTTCCAGGTGGGGTACCCACCGTCCAGGGATGCAGCTCCAGAAGCGCTGGGTATCTGCCAGGGTCAGGTAGAGCTCAAAGAGCCCCGAGGCCACCTCTAGGTTCATCTTGGGGCTCAGCTCCTCTGTCAGTACCCATGCCTCCTCAGCCACCTGCCTCAGATGGTGGAGTTAGGCAACTTCCCAAGTTAATCTAGGGACCCTCTTAACCAGGGACTTCTCCCTGATCTCCAGTTCCCACAAGCACCCAGGATGAGGGATTCCCCCCTCACCAGACGTTCCAGCTGCCGGAAGGTAAGGGTGAAGAAGTCCACCTTAAGGATACTGCAAAAGACATGTCTCAGACACCCGTTTGCCACCAGCCAGCCCTACCCTCCCAACCCAGCCCATTCTGGCCTGGCACCATCATCCAAGGGAAGGTCCTACCCATGGAAGAGGCTGGCGTAGACCCCATAGCAGGACTGCAAGTCCTCGTAGATGATGTCTGCAAGCTCAACAAGCCCCGCTAGGCGCTGCGGCCCAGGCTGCAAGAAAGCCAGGCTTGGAGTGACCAGTGAGCCCCCCAATGCCCTGTGTCTCCAATCCATGCCATCCAGATTCACACCTGCTCTCGAGGACTCTTGGTGTTCAGGAGCTGGTCGTACCACTCCCGGTTGCCCCGCTGTAGCAGCAGCCGGGAAAGCAACACAGTGGATTGAAGGCAAGAGTCAGATTAAGTGGCTGTGGGCAGCAGACCCTGGCAGGGGCCAAGGGAGGGAGGGCCAAGATGGATCCAGACACACCTTCAGGGCCGCGGCTATGTCCACGTTGAGCTCGGTCTCGAAGGGACAGATGGCGAAGGCTGGCTGGAAGAGCTGTAGCTTCTCGAGGCACCTGATGAGGACAATCAGCTGAGGAGGCCACCCCGACCCCCAGCCCTGCAGCCCCCTGGTCCCGCTATGTGACACCTACTTCAGCAGCAGCCCCAAGCGATACACAGCCGTGCTGTTGGTGGCAGGGAAGTAATCTCGGAGCTGGCGCAGCAGCCTCAGCCCGAACTCCGAGAAGGCAGAGAAGCTGTCGGCTAGGCTCTCCTCCTGCGGGGAATCGGTTCTTCAGAGTCGAGACAGGGACAAGGTCCAAGGCAGCTTTGCTCATAAGATACGGAAACACCACTGCTCCGTGTGGCTAGCCCGGTCTCTTCCCAGCTAGCTGTCCCACTGTCTGCTTCCGCCCCTCTGCCCTCACTGCACCTAGAGCTCCTGTCTCATCTGCTCCATTCTGTCAGCGCCCACCTGCTCCTGCGGCTTAG